GAGGACAACCTTCTAACATAGAGGATATCAGTCTAGATTCTTCAGTAAGCAGATGCCGAGCTTGGAGTACAAGAGAGTTAGGGTTTTTTTCTTCTTGTTTGTTTGTTGGGTAGAAACGAAAGCATACATTCACCGAGTCTGTGGCTGTATCACAGGTCTCTGAGGCCATATGAATCTGCTTGAGCAAAAATACCAAGTCTAGCATGGCAGTTGCCATCAGGGCTACTACTCTGTTGGTTGATAGTAGTTTACAGCCATTCTCAAGGAACAACCATGTTCCCACAGATGAATTCAGTGGAGATATGATGGAACCACCACTCTTGAGATATTTATAAGAATGAAACGAATCTCCATCGTTCCTATTAGGACACCATATTGTTTTTATATTTGCTCTCTTAGTCAGGGGCTGTTCAAAAGGTTAATAGCTGGTCATTACCACCATGATGGCTAGTGTGGGATTATTACAAATGTCAATTGCCAGGTGTGTAAATCCCATTTACACATACATCCCAGTACTATAGAAATGACCTCTGTGTCTGACCGATGCAGGACCAGCAGGAGATGTTTGCTCCAGAGCTCCCATCTGGTTCGGCGGAGGGATGGCCTGTGCAAGGCTCCATAGCCTTTGGGTTCTCATCTTCCCTTCACCAGTAATGGCAGCCATGACTGTTCCCCCAGTGGTTTTTCATTAACCCCAGTGTCCCCAGACAAACTCACCATGTATGCTCCCCCTGCTCAGTCAGCCTGCCCTTTCCTCCTGACCCATCAACTTCCCTGCTTCTGTAATGAGATTACCCCCTCCCAGTAGAGCATTCTTTGAACATCAAACATTAGAGAATGTTTTTTTAAGTTTTTCTTTCTCAGACTTCACAAAGGCTAGGGGTCCTAAGAACAACATGACTCTCTTCATTCTCACTGCCCACTGCCCCAACGTGTTTCCTCTCTGTTTGCTCCTGAACTTCTGTCCCACCTTTATCACTCAGATGACATGTCACCTCCTCCAGGGAAGTCTCCCCTGACTGCTCAACCTCCCCCTCCCCCCAACACATACTTTATATGCATCACACTGTTTTTCTTTAGATCATTTCTATGTCTGTTTCCCATCCTTGAAGACAGGGTCTATGCCTTTTTCATCTCTGACCCCAGCACCTATCATAATGTTTGGTACGCAATGTGTGTCAGCTAAGTTCAGTTGCATTACATTGTTTAACTGCTGGCAAATTTGAGCAGGGAGCCATGTGCTTCCTGCTTAATAAGGTCAGTTTCATGCTGCCTATTCCAGGAATCTCGAAGTTCTCATACCAGTAGGTAAGGCTTTCATGATATAACCCTAATCTCCCATTTTCTCCTCTCTACAGGGACTCTGGATAGCAGACAGACTAAACTAGTCATCCATTCTCCACTATATTTCCATAGCTTTGCTCTTGCTCCAGCTCAGACATCCTTCTCCACTGTCTACCAGTAATTTGCCAAATCTTGCTCATCCTTCTAAGATCATCACAAAAGCCAGTTCGCAGAGGAAGTATTCTCTGATTCCCAACAAAGCTCTTCCTCCAAACACCTCTGAATGCCTACATCACCACCATCCAGTACCATTACTGTCACCATTAAAATGACACATTGATCAAGTCTCTTTTATGAACTATTTTTAATGCATTTAATCATGAGGTTTTCACCCTGTGGATTAAATGAAAGTCCCATTAAAAAGAAGTTAGCCATTGCTTTCCATCAGCCACTGCTATTAGCCTTGAGAGATGTTTTTGCACACACCAAGGCACCCAGTCCAGTCCCTGGCATCTAGCATCCTCTAAAACAACAATTTTAAGAAACATTAGAGACCAAATAGTGATTTAGGCCTGATTTTCCCCAATCTCTTCGCCAATATTCCCTTCTCATTCCCCAATAGAAGGATGCATCATCTTCCATAATTGTTACTTTCCTGGAGAGACCATCCTTGCCCACCAAGTAGGAAGTAGTTCCAGCCCATTATAGTCTTCCTGTGCTTTTTTCACAACCCTTGTCCTAATTTAATGTGTATGCTTATCATCCCTTGCTGTTGTACTGTTGTAATGTCTCTTTCCCCCACAAGTCTGTAGCTTCGTGCAGGAACAGATCATGACAATTTCGTAAGCTGCTGAAATAGTCATTTCTTAAATAATCATTGTCTGTTACATAGCATGTTTTCTCAAAGTTTGCTGATCATTTTTAAACTTTACATATTTTATAGTCAAATCTGTTTATCTTTCTATCATGGCTTTTCAAGTTTCTCTTAATGTAATTTTTATAATTTTATTGTTAATTTTTTAAGATTTCATTTATTTATTTTTAGAGAGGGAAGGGAGGGAGAAAGAGAGAGAGAGAGAAACATCAATGTGCGGTTGCTGGGGGCCATGGCCTGCAACCCAGGCATGTGCCCTGACCGGGAATCGAACCTGCGACACTTTGGTTTGCAGCCTGCGCTCAATCCACTGAGGCTTAATGTAATTTTTTATTGCTTCCTTGGAATATGTTCCTACAGGTGGAAAGTTGAATAAGCATCTCCTTAAGTGTCTTGATGCATTTTATCTAATTGAACATGCCCAGCCCCCTGGCAAAAGCGTGACTTGCCTTCTTAAAACTCTACCAGTGGCCTTAGTTTATTAGGTTTTCCAGGCAAGCTGTCTGGAACTCATTTCACAGTAGGTAAGCATGACCCTGAAAACTTCAGGAATTGAGTGTCTCAGCAGAGATGCTGGGCTCAGCACTGTGTACAAGGGGGAAACTTTAGTACACCCCTCTGACCGTTAGCACCAAATTATTTGATAGTCCTCTCAGAGTTTACTTTTACTCAAATGAATGCACAGATTTGTCCCTACCATTGTTCCCAAATAATTCCCTTTTCTTTATTTCTGTAGCAACTGGATCAACTCCAAGATCTGTGTTAGCCTGAAAATATGTCACTCTCTTTCCTGGTCACTTGCTTAACATGGTACAGGTTTTCCCTGCTATCCAAAAGTAGAGTGTTTCTATGATACTTTTCATAAGCTGAAGTAGCATTAAGCAAAGAAACAATTACCATGAATTTATATGGAAAAATCTTTGAGACTTCCCATACCCCAAAATAACCTATCGAATCATACCAAATCCACTTAATTACATACAGTTTTATACTAAGTGTAACACCCTTATAAACTCTCTTAGGCTTTTCTGATACCTTAGGATACATCTTGTTAACAGATGCACAAAATAAATTGAGATGAAGCACAGCTGCTCACAGACACAGTTCAAAGCTGTGCGGTGTGAGGCTGAGATGCTGAGTGCAGCTTCCTGGGAAGGAGCTTGGTGGTGCCGTCACGTTGTTCCGAGTATGTGCTGCCTCTGTACAGCTTGCTGGGAAACAAAAACTGAATGCTATTTTCGCTTTCCTTCTTTTCTTACAAAAGCAAAAATCCTTTCCAGATTTCTTTCAGTTACAGAAAACAGGTACAGGTTTTTCATAAAAACAAAGTGGTGTAACACAAACTTTCAAACTTTCGGAAAGCAAGGGATACCTGTCATTATAGTGTCTTAGCCAACTGGGTAAACAGCTTGACCCGGCTATTCCAGTCCAGCTGCCATAAATGTTGCCAATTATAACACCAGTTCCCGTCATAGAGAAATGACATTAAAGAATGTAGTTCACTTCACTGTGAGAGTAACCTGATAAATATTATTGGATGGGATGACACGGAGACAAAATTTTGGTGACCTCAGTTCACATTTAGCCCTTAGCCATCTCTGTGACTGTCATAGGACTTCACCTGACCTTTAATCATCACACAACTCAGGACAGTATTCCGGGTCAGTCAGGTCAAGCACTCAGTGGGGTTTTCCTAAATTAGAATTGCCTATAATGTATCATTTCCACTGCCTTTCCTCTGCAGATTAAAGGGTATAATTCTTTTTAATATATACTTTTGCTTATTCCAGATCTCACACACATGGTAAGAAAAAGCAAATGCATACTTTTCTATTACTTCTGTTCTTGGGATGTAATCAAGGAAAAAGAAAAGATTTTTACTTTAAATTTACTCGCTCCATCAGAGAGTTTCATTGATTGATTGATTGATTGATTGATTTAGCTTCTGGAACACCTGTTTTTCTTTCCTTTTTTTTCCTTACCAAGCTACACAAATATGTAACAAAGGATTCAAAATACAAAAATATAAAATTACAATAGTATCAAGACCCATTTTCAAAGGGAGATGCAATTTGGAACTTTTCCTATGTGTCCCCAGCTTTAGCAGCAACAAAACAGGATAGAAATAACAGAGATGCATCTGGCACAGTCCCAGTCCTGATGTCTTTCAAGGCAAGGAGTCCAGGAAGGGACAATGTGAGAACATAAGTAGCTATGATATAATGTCATAAGTGACAAAGGCCATATTTGGAAGAGTAGGGAGAGAAGCAATCAGGAAAAATCTCTTGCAGAACCTAGTTTGAGCTGGGCATTTAAGGCTAGAAAAGAATGTCTTAGGCCAAGATTTGGATTAAGGACATTTTATACAGGGGAACAGAGCCAGCAAATTCTTGATGGAAGAAAAAAAGGTGGGTCAAACTGACAAACTGATCCTTTTCTAATTTTGTTTTTAATTAACAGAATTAAACCCAATAGAAAGAAGCAAATTGATGGCCTTTTATGCTACAGGAAAAAGTTAATGTAGTTTGGGCAGCTCTTCAAGTCTCAGCCAAAAAGGTACTTCCGGTTTCTGATGCGTGCTGTTTGCTTGCTGGAGGAACTCTTCAGGTTGTTTGTTCTTCTCACTGTCCAATGGCAGACAAATCCATACTTTTGAACGCAGCTGATTGGCTACTGTAAAAGCCCGCTCTGAGCAAGGACCAATGAGCTCCCGGAGTCCAAATTCTTGGAAATAGTTTCTGGCTGGGAACGCGTGACATTGAGACAGCCTCGCACTTGTCAACAAGGACGAGTCTGGGCTGGCCCTCTGCCCACGGGATCCGGCGCCGTGTCCCAAGTGGCTGATCCCACATCTACCTACTTTCAGATGCCCACTTCGGCTTCCTCCTAACCCCTTAACCCTCACAGCCTCTTGCTCCAGCACCAGCACACTCCGCAGTGGCTGCCACCAGGGATCGGGGCCCAGAGTTTTTTCTCTGTCTGGGTTGGCCTGGTTCCAGGCTCAGGACGCGTCTCCAAGTTCCAGTGACTCCTCCCCGTTGGAGCTGGGGGGAGCGTGCGGGGGTAACGAATAAAACCGCAGGAGCCGGCCGGTGGTGGCTAGGCGAGCACTGGAGTCTCAAGACACTTGTTGTTCTTTTGACTCACTGCTCCTTCTGACTAGCCGCGGGACTCCTCTGCTCCGTAACACCCCTGACCGTCAGCCCAGACAGAGGCGCACCAGCCCGCCAGCACACCCGAGCTGCTCGCCGGGACGCGACCCGCCCGCTCCTCCGTCGCGGACTCTCTCCCCTGCAGCTTTCGCCCGCAAGTCAGCCCCTGCCAGGTCCTGTGGGCATCAAGATGAAGGCGGCCCGCTTCGTGATGCGCAGCGCCCGCTCGCTGAGCGGCGCCAGCCTGGTCCCCCGCGAGGTCGAGCATTTCTCGCGCTACAGCCCGTCCCCGCTGTCCATGAAGCAGCTGCTGGACTTTGGTGAGTGAGGACAGAGGGTCCGGGCGGGGGCGTTGGGGTTGGAGAGCTTCCTTAACTTTAAGTCCCGGTGCAGGGAGGGCTGGCCTCATTGTTTAAAAAGAATTGTGGTCGGACTTTCTGCCGAAGCCTAGATCCTCGACCACCAGCACACCTTGCCTTCTCCTACATCCACCTTCGTGCTGACAGTTTTGTCTAAGGGTAGAGGCCACTTACGGCTCCGCTGATGCTGGATGGTTTGAGCTCATCTTTCCGTCCAAAGCATCTGTCAAAATACTTTTGCTTTCGGTCAGCATTTAACAATGAATGAAAACTTGACCCCTTCGCCGCACAGAATTCCTTGGAAAAGAATCTAACATTATAAAGTAGCCTAAAATTAATTGAGGTTTTTAGCCCTTGGCCACCCTTCACAGGGTACATCTCTGCATTCCTAACAAATTTCTTTGTTTCTCAGCCATTGAAGTTTTTAAAAATATTTGCAATACTGCTGAAAGTATTTATAGACTTCCCACAACAGTCTTACAAGGAAATTTTCAAGGATAGAAATGTGATATTATTTATTTGTTAGTAATCCGGAAACATCACAACTTCCACCCTGCTCTCTCATCTCCCACTCCAATTTCATAATTGGAGCTATAAACATTGTGGCCTTGATTGAACCCTGCATCTCTCATAACTATTAAGAGCTGTAGGGGTAGTCTGATTCGTGGAAGTGAACCCTCTTAAAAAAACAAAACAACATTAATTCCCATATTGGTAACTTAAAAAAAAGAAAAACACAAGATGATACTTCTGAATTAGCTATAAACTGTAAACCAACTGAGGGTGAAAATAATCTTATTTTACTTTATTTATTTTTTAAAGTATGGAACACTTCATGAATTTGTGTGCCACTCTTGTGCAGGGGCCGTGCTAACCTTCTCTATTGTCCCAGTTTTTAGAATATGTGCTGTGGAAACGAGCACTGAAAAATAATTTATGATATATGTATGTGTTTAATATTGGATAGTTAATGCTGTTCGAAGACATCATTTAGACATACTTGTTTCCCAATACTAAATAAATGTTAATTATTACAGGTTCGGAAAACGCATGTGAAAGAACTTCTTTTGCATTTTTGAGACAAGAATTGCCTGTGAGGCTTGCCAATATCCTGAAGGAAATTGATATCCTTCCTGATCGATTAATAAATACCTCTTCAGTACAGTTAGTTAAAAGCTGGTAAGTAGTAAACCATTCTGAAACAGTCTCTAATTTTAAGATAGTATCTGAGTACGAATTCTTACAATATATCAGTATCATAGTTGGAAAACAGGTGATTTGAATAGTAAATACTTTTGAAACATGTAAAGAATTTTTTATTAATTTTAAGTTATGATAAGGGCAGTTATAAAACTAGAAACTGACATTTTATCCTGAAAAAGGAGATTCTTTCACAATGTAATTTTTATTTCTAGGAGAAATATGAAAACTATTTGACAGTGACAATTTGCTTTGTATTTTAAATCATAAAAGATGGAGCTTGATATTGTAAAAGGAATCCCATCCTAGAAATAAATATGAATGATTGCTATTCATAGAGGGCCTCATCTTTTTAAATTACAAACCAGTTAACAGCAGGCTCTGGGTTCACATCCTGCTTCCTCCTCTTCTTAGTTGTGGAATACTTGGAAAGAGTCTTAAATTCTCTATGCCTCAATTCCCCTATCTCTTACTGAGGAGACTAAAGTATATGCCTTAAAGGGATATTGAGTGTAATTAAATGAGGTAATCCATTAAAAAGCACTTAGAATACATAGCACACAGCCAGAACTCTGTCAGTTATAATCATCTCATTTTATAAATGAGGATACTGAGGCTGAGAGAGCATAGATAATCCAAAGGAGCAGATTTTCAGAGGCTAGAGCCAGGTTACGCTCTGAGGCAGGTTGGCACCAGAGCCTCACTTTAATCTACTGACCGCACAACTTCTCACTCACTGATTCAAGAAATGTACATATTATATACCCATTAAACAATTACAATCTGAAATATATATTCAATCCATAGTATGTACTGCTTTCAAGACTTCTATTCGCCTGTGAATGGATTAGGAAAAAATATGAAAGTTTTCTTAAAATGTTGCTTTTAAGGGCTTTTGCTATTAAAAATACATTTGCCAAACAAAACAGAAAACAAATAAATAAAACAGGAATAAAGAAATAAAAATTTTAATTTAGGAAGTTAAGTATTAAAGCTGTACCTTTTCTTTTGAGATATTGTTTTGCAAATGTCTTGGAGTTTTAATTTTAAGCATAATACTTTCTCTTTTCAAATCGTATGGAAAAGATAGTACTTTCAGCCACTTGTACCTCACTATTCAATTTAAAAACTTAAAGCACACCTGTCACTTTACAGGTACATCCAGAGCTTGATGGATTTGGTGGAGTTCCATGAGAGAAACCCAGAAGACCAGAAAACATTATCAGAGTAAGTTCTATGTGTTAGATTAAGTGTCTAAAACTTTGACTATTTCCAGACATACTCCTGTCATAAATGATATACACACTTATACTCTAAGAGGTAGAAGTGAATGAACCTTACTTGAACCTTCACTAAACGTAAATGTGTTTTGGCTTAGTTTTGTAGATACTCTGATCAAAGTTCGAAACAGAAATCATAATGTAGTCCCTACAATGGCACAAGGAGTCATAGAATATAAAGATGGCTGCACAGTCGACCCAGTCACCAACCAAAATCTTCAGTATTTCTTGGATCGATTTTACATGAACCGTATTTCTACCCGGATGCTAATGAACCAGCACAGTAAGTTAGTTTATCATAATCATGATATATGGAGATGGGTGTAGACTGTAAGCCATACTCTAACTAGACTATTTGGTAGGTCACATTTTTTTGGTCAGTGGTAGTTCTAATCATTATTATATGTTCATATTTATTTTTCAACAGTTCTTCTATTTAGTGACTCGGAGACAAGAAACCCAAGCCACATTGGAAGCATTGACCCCAACTGTGACGTAGTAGCCGTGATCCAAGGTAATTTCTAGGTTTCTTCATTTCCCTTATTGAAAATGTATACTGTAGGTTGACATACAGTTGAGATGACTCTGTAAATGAATTTATACTCAGAGTTTTCCCTTTATGTTTTTATGAATACTGTCATGAAAGTCTTTGTTTTTGAAGATCAGGGGTTTAAACATGCATTTATAATATTATAAAAAATCCTAATATCAGGTTAATGTGTCATATTCTTATGTAGTATTTGATCTCTGATGTGTGCATATTCCTATTGCTGTAACTGAAATACTGTTTCTTCAATAAGATATTAAAATGCATTTTTTCATATACATAAACTTGTACTGTAATGCATATTTTAGCTTAGGGGTAGTGTACATACTGAAGATCACTTGAAAATTTTACTTGGCACAAATTCATTTCATCATCATGGAAAAAAACCTTCTATTCCAGATGCCTTTGAGAGTTCGAGGATGCTTTGCGATCAGTATTATTTAACATCTCCAGAATTAAAGCTCACGCAAGTGAATGGTAAGCTGTGAATAAAATATATTTTAACCTATGTAAAATTCAGTGTCCTCCCACTATGATTAATACTGTAAATACAGAGCAACTTCTGTGTTCCAATTTTCCCTTCTGAATGTGCCTAGTTTGTACACTTTAATTTTGAAACCAAGATTCTCTTTATCTCAACTGGAAGGTTTCAATTGAGCATATTCAGTTGCTAGTGATGACTCATAAAGAAGAATAGTGTAAACAAATAGTTTGGTATATAGAGTAACAATTTAATTCCAATGTCTTAGATTGAAGAAAGATTGCTTACTGCAGAATAGGGTGCAGAGGAGCCAGAAGTAGGAGGAACCACTTGGTAGTGGAGATATCCTTCTAAAGAGGTTACTCATAAGATCTGGAAACAAAGGTACTTTAAATTGCAGTATAAGAAACAAGCCAGTCACAGGAGGACAAACACTGAATGATCCTTACTTACATGAGGTATTTAAAATAAGTCAGACTCAAAGAAGCAGAGGGCAGAATGGTGGTTTCCAGAGGCTGGGAGGAGGGGGAGTGAGAAGTCACTCTTCAATGGGTATAAAATTCTACTTATGCAAGATGAGTAACTTCTAGAAATCTGCTGGACAGCATTGTGCTTAGCAATACTATATTGTACACTTAAATATTTAAGAAGGTAGCTCTCGTGTTAAATGTTCTCACCAAAATTATTTTTAATGCACTATAAATAAATATATACCAGCTTTGGAAACACAGCATACTTTATTTAGTAGCTTCAACTGAAGGGTACTTGAAAAGATAGTCTTCCTACGTTACTGAAGTGATTACATGAGGAATGCGAGACACTGTCTTTATCCTATTCCATAGCTGCTTCTCAAAGCATGACAGCATACTTAAACTGGAATAACATTCTCTTTTTAATTCAAAGTAAACATCTTTTCTGAGTAATAGTTATACATGAACAATGTTCATTGGTGGTGACAGTGAAAATTAAGTTGTTCAAATTATGAGTAGCCTAACTTACGGGTTCTGCAAAAGCAATTGATTGCTAAACTAAAAATAAAGCTACAAATAAAGATTGAAAAATATCTCTAAACATTACCAAAACTGTTACATAACTTCAGATAAACTGCTTGAACTGTCTGATAAAATAAACAAGGAACCCAGCCAGTCCTTAGGTTTTCTGATTCAAACTTCACCAAGGCCTTCACACCAAAGAATAATTCTCCCATTTTTCTTTTCAAACAGTACTATGAGGTTTTCTTTCTCTGTTTTCTTTAGCCTCTTGGTGAAATTTGAGCATATTTAGTCTATAAGATTTGATATTTGTTGATAAAAATCTAGATTAATCAGACATGCTATTTTCCCATTGTTTTCTATGTGCTGCTTCAATTTCCAAATACGAGAATTATAGCTACCTTCATTTCTGATGTTACCCTATAGGCACATTCATTTTTTCTTCTTTCTTACAATGATATTGTCCAGTACAAAAGTTTGGAAAAGAGAAAAAATAATCCATGTAATCGAATTTATAGCACCCTTGTCATGCACTTCATTTGCTTTATACATCTGTAGAGAAATACAAAAACTCATCATAAAGCACTGGGCAGCAACTGTAAAAGCATGTTGAAAATAAGCCAGTTGTGTTTTCTGTTTAAGAGGGAAGGTTCTAGGGTAGGATTTTGGAGTGAGGAGGATGGGGAGTATGCCAATCCTGTTTAAGTCTAAAATATTGGTCAAATAGATATGGATGTTTATTTTAGTGAAGTATTTGTTTACTAATTCTAATGAGTATATTTTTTCTCTTAGCCAAATCTCCAGCACAACCGATTCACATTGTGTATGTTCCTTCTCACCTGCACCATATGCTCTTTGAACTATTTAAGGTATGACGCTTCATCGTGATAGCAGTTCTTTTTTATTAAAAATTCACTGGTTGCATTTTAAGTTCCTTTATCGTTTCTGACTGCACAGGAGCCTCACTCTCTTCTGCCAAGTGAGCTTCTGTGCACCTAAAAGGAGGAAACAGTTAATGGTTGAAAGGGCACATAGAGCTCATTGTAGCATCGACATGCATTTGAGAATGCACAGCATGAATCATGGTGTCTCAGAGCTCCCTATTCCCATTATTTGTTCAGGTGTCCAACAAAGGACTATTCATTTGTGCATTCATTAAGAAAGTTCATGGGGTGAAGACTTCAGGGAATGAGGCCCTGTTTCTTCCACCCCCACAGACTGGTCCAATTCCAAATCCAGAGGTTCAGGTCCACAATTCCTGTAAGTGGTAGGATTGCAACCCGAGTCTAGAATATGCTCAGAGGACAGTCTGTTCCTTCCGTGAACTACTTCAACATGCATATGAATCACCTAGTGGTTTTTTTTTAATGCAAATATTGAGTCAGTGGGTCCAGGGTAAGGCCTGAGACACTGAACTTCTAATAAGCTAATAGGTGTCACTGCTGGTCCACAGTGCCCTTTCTGTGGCAAAACTGGAAGCCCGTGCTTCTCAAACTTCATGCCCCTTAGCATCACCTGGAGGGCTTGTGAAAATGCAAATCTCTGTCCCTGGCAGAGAGTTTGATTCTCTAGGTCTGAGAGTATGCATTTCTAAGAAGCTCAGAGGACGCAGATGTTACAGGTCTGGGGTAGCCAGGTGCTCATATCAGACCCTGTCCTCTGTTCTAACACCAAACTACAACTCTGTTTCCACCAAAAGACAGAAAAACACCCCAAACTCTGTGACACTTCCAAGGGTCATCTGGACTAGGGAGGAGGAAGCCTAAAAAAGTAAAATTTACTTCTAATTCTGATATAACTCTTCTCAGAAGTTACTGTTTTCTAATTTATTATTAATGTTAGTACAATGAGGTATTGAGTATACTATAAATATCTGATCTATTTTACTTCACTTGAGCTAATGATTTGAACTTAATATCAAATAGAAGCCGGAAAGCAGACAATTTGCTGGAAGGTTAGAGAGAAAAAAGGAGTGAAATAAACCGAAACTGTATCTGTATAAAACTCATCCAGTTGTCTGAAAACTTGAGTTTCTTTCCTGTGAAAGGACAAAAGATACTATTTTGTTGATTTGATTTACTTTTAAATTGAATGGTCCAACTCATAGATTTATATTGATATCACTGGCAAAAGTTAAAATGATAATCACATGCAAATTTAAATTTAAATTAGAATTATTTACTATCCTTTTCAATGGTAACAACTTTTTCCCAGCAAATTTTCTAAAAACCAATAAATTGGTTCAGTGATTCACTGGTCATTTGTTATGTGATAGTCTTTGGTGTTTGGGTGTAAAATGTAATGGAAAGACAGAAAATAGAGAGCCAGGAAATGGATGATAAAAAACCATGCATACATTTAAATTAAGCTGACAAATAAGAACCTGACAACTAGCAGAATGGTTTTTCTATTAGACATGACTCCCAGGAGCTTTATGACATGGTAAAATGAATATTTTTATTATACATCCTATGCGACATATTCATAAATGGCTGTTTACAGAGCTGTTTTAACTACTAACCTTAAAGAAATAGGAACTTCAAGTAATTCTCTGTACTGTTTTTATTTTATACATAAAAAACAGATATCTATTGTCTCTCATTCTTCTGCCATTGAATTCCTTCTGTTTTTGTTTTCTCTAGAACGCAATGAGGGCAACAGTTGAACACCAGGAAAACTGTCCTTCCCTCACACCAGTGGAGGTGACTGTGGTCCTGGGGAAGGAAGATCTTACAATTAAGGTAACCATTCTCTAATGTTCTTGTGAGTCCCTCTTGAGAGAATTAAAAAGTCACCAACAGTGGTCTGTCTGCTTTGAGCAATAGCTCAAAGGCATTTACTAAGTGACTTTTCAATGACAGAAAGACATTTTTATACAGACAAATGCACATTGTTTTTAAAGTGTAGCTCTGACGCCTTGTTTGTTGGTTTAAGATTTCAGACAGAGGAGGTGGCGTGCCCCTGAGGATCATTGACCGCCTCTTTAGTTATACGTACTCCACCGCGCCAACGCCTGTGATGGACAATGCCCGGAATGCTCCTTTGGTAAGACCAATTATATGGCAAAGCCCACCCCAGCCACCTGGTTCTAAAGGTAGATCTAGGATGACAAGGAAGTATTTAGGCAAGTTAATCCATTTAAATTGGGCAGAGGGATGAGAGAAAGGGTGATAAAGCAAGCTAAAGATAGTGAAACCACTTCAGGGATCTCTGATTGGAAGCAGAAGGTCTTTATCTAGGTTCTAGGACATCAATATCAGGCAGGGTAGTAACTCCTTTCTACTGTTTGTATTCCAGTGATCACACTACCTCTTTACCAATAACTGATCTTTTTTCTCTAGGCCGGTTTTGGTTACGGCTTGCCGATTTCCCGTCTCTATGCCAAGTACTTCCAAGGAGACCTGCATCTCTACTCTTTATCAGGATATGGAACCGACGCTATCATCTACTTAAAGGTATACTTTAAACTGAATAGGAAAAAAATCACACTTCTGAAAAGATTGCTTCTTTTACAGTCCTGAGTTCTATGGCCCACAATGAAAACCCCAGACTGAGTTCATGCAAATAATGACTACAAGAATTCTATTTTCTGGGTGGTGTGTGTAGATACACTGTTTAATATTTAACGCGGTAACTTACAAACAAGGAGGTGGAGCCAGGCTACCTGCCTCAAGTGAAGCAAAATTGTTGCCCATGAAGCACTTTCGTTTCAGAGTGAGGACCTGCCCATGTGAATTTTTTTAAGGCAACTCTTCTGGCATCTGTGAGAATAGCTGTACTTTTGTTTTACTTCCACTGTGGAAAAAAAGATGCTAATAATGCTCCAGCTTAAAAAATAACTGATATCAAGTTATTCGAGACGTTAGGCTGACATTACAAATCCAGAGAAACGGAAGCTGACTGCTCACAAGTTGTCAGCGGGATACTGGACATTTCTGTCTAAACTGTAAAACCTTGTGCATGTGTTTCTATTTCTTTTAAAGCCTTGGTTTATGTGTCAAGGTCACTTTTTTGATTCTGCTTATCATTTGCCAACTACAGGGTCTGGCACAAATAATGCCCCTATTTTGTTACAAAATCTTTTATTACAAAACCATAAGCATGTATTTCTGTAACATAACAACATCATACTCAAGCACATCATATGACATTTTAGGAGAAATGTTCAAATAAGAACTATAAATTATTATACCCATTTTATTACCTTACCAACCACACTCAAGAAGGCATTACTTCTGCCAGACCCTGTATATCAACTGAAAATATATTTACAGATATTAGCAACTAAACATTAAGCTTCTAGGTTCCCATTCTGTCCCCAGAGAGTTGTTTGCCAAGTGGTTCTTGACCATCTGAAATAATTAATGCATTCATTTCTTAAGTAAGCCAAAGTCTTCAAAGTATTAGGAAAGATTAATAGATTATAGATTTGTAGTATCAGATTTAATAGATTAGTAGTATCAGATTAGAACTCTTTTATCATAGATTAAAAGGTTTTGCTTGGAAAGAAAAGCTTTGCTTTTCAACTCTATCATACCAGTAATGTCTAAACAAGGTACGTGTGTGGGTATTGAACACAAACTCTATTCCCTAACTTAAATTGTACATATACTATTTTATTCCCTATAAGGTAGAGATAATATTTATTTTTTAGTTTCCTTCTATACAGTGCCTAACAGACTATCTGCTCTGGTGCACTCTTATTACTAAACTAATTAAAATAGTGTATTTAAAAAAAATAAAACAGTGTATTTGAGTGGTTGACTACTTACCTCTGAATTTATTTTGAAAAGTCACTTCGACTACAAGTTACGCCATAAATAATTTCTTTGGTTTGACTTCTTTCCTCCCTCTCCTTTCAGGCTTTGTCTTCTGAGTCCATAGAAAAACTCCCGGTCTTCAACAAATCAGCCTTCAAACATTATCAGATGATCACCGAGGCTGACGACTGGTGTGTCCCGAGCAGGGAACCGAAGAACCTGGCGAAGGAGAAAGTGGCTGTGTGAAGACGGACACGCGGGACACTCGAAGGGATCAAAGTGGGTCTGTGCCAGTGCTGCTGCTTTCCGAATGTTTGCGTGTGGGCGCTTCTTCCCTCAAACACAAACACCGGCAACACAAACTCCTTCACCAGAACACTGAGGGGAAGAGGAACAGAGCCCGTTTCTGTGACCCCGCAGAGCACAGAGCGGGACGACAGGAGTTCACAGATGGCCAGCTCTTCATTCTCTCAACATAGAACAATGCTTGAGTTTATATCAAACCCAGAAGGAGATGTAAGCCTCGGTTTTTCATCTCTTTATCAGCAGGAGTGGGAAAGGGAGCGGAGTGAAGACATAAGCTATCAATCTCAATGGACTTACATGTCTTAGATGTCTGGTTGACATCATATTAGTGTTCATTGAACATCGCGTCAATTATACCAGTATTTTCCTGCCTTTCAAAGGAGCAGGGCATATTTCATACTCTATGGCCAGAAATGTATATAAATGCACATTTTGTATATATCTATGTGCTCCAGGGAGGAAAAACTGGTGACTAAAATAACATTCACTTTGAATGACCAATGAGTCAAAACATTTTATTCAAAGTTTTGGCCAAGGCATTGAGCCTATGTAAAAACTTAGAGGAAAGCCTTTTCTGAGAAATACAAGGCCTTTATTATGCTGCTTTCCCTGCCCACACATCACGTAGTAAAAGAACACTTATTACTGCAAGGTGCCTAGTCTCGGGTGAATTTTAAAATATGCACTGAGTTCAGAATGTTGACGGTTGGAGGGAGAGAAGAATTGCCAAAGTGATAACAAAAATATCTCTCATCTTGTTTTTTTTAATGAATGAAACAGTGACCTAGAAAAACTGGTGTTAGGGAAAGAAGTCATTCATTCAGAACCTAACTCAGAAAGAAGGGCCGTTCTCCGCCCTGGGGTGGTGGTAATCCAAAGACACCCATTCTCTAGGTTTAAAAAAAATGTGTTTTTGATATATTCAATTGCACTCTTTACACTCCCGCATTAACGTGTCTGTAGAAAAAAACTTTAATTATCAAATGACTCAAGGACATTAGAATTTAAATATTTCTTGGAGTGTTTTTAACAAGTAGCCTGGAAGTAAGAGGATTTCATGTCAGATGTTTTCTTGGTGAATCATGGAGACTGAGAGTTAGGGAATGAAAGCTGAACTGCACATGGAACTTTGGGGAGTACAGGTGTAATATGCAGGTTGACAGGGTAGTCTTGTACACTACTCTTAGAGAAGGAATGAAAAGACGAAAGAAGGAAGGAAGGAGGAAAGAAGGAAGAACGAAGAAAAAAGGAAGGAAGGAAGGAAAGAAGGAAGGGCATTTTGCTATATTTTCACAAATTATCTCAAGAAATGATCCATATTTTCATGGACAAATTATTGGCAAGAGGATGAATTGGTGTCTTTCAAAACAGTATGACTTCTTCCAACGGCTTTCTCATTCTTGCAAAAGAATAGGTTTTAATGAGATAATAAACTCATGCATCAAATCAATGTTTAAACTGGGTTATGGAAAAAACTAGACTTTCCTGCACTGGAAAATAATCAGTACTGTATTTGTTTTGAACTTAACATTTGTGTTTAATATTGTTACAGCCTAGTGTTGTGGTACTTCTGGGAGTGGCCATACAAGCCTCCAACTATGTTGTGAATTTCAGACTTTATCATCAGAAGTCCTAAATAGTGACTTTGATGATAGGATTCTGGTGTATGCATTTATTGATTACACAAAACAGTTTGATAAGTTATATGAATTTTCATTTTTTACTGAAATGTAAACAATTTTTGTGTGTAAATACTTGTATTTACCAAAGATTACCAAAGCAGTTGGTTAATTAACCCACCGTGAACTATCATGAAAACACTAGAGAAAAAAAAATGTTGGTATCTCAGTAACTATCAGTTGTGTAAATGCAGTTTTATAGAATAGAAATAGACTACATTGGTATTTGTAAAAATTATGAAAGAGATTTAGGATTTTACTGAATAGATACTAAATGTTCAGACCCACTTAAATTATTAATGTATAAATTGTATTTTTGTCTTTAGGCTATGTCCAGAGAAATGTGACAATTTTGATAATAAATATTTTTATTACAGTAATAGGCATAGTCTTGTAAAGTTCTTTTCTTAAATTAATGGTAAAGTACTAAGAAGAATTTGAAGTAAAGAGTCTCCTCATTTTACATTTAAGCCTAATTTATCTACATATTGGGTATAGCCTTTTAGAAGTTTTGAAATAAACTTAAAATCTTAATTTTTAAACAAAAGATAAGTATTTTATAGCAGTCCAGAAATTTCTAATCATTTTTTGCTTTCTTGTGTATGCCCCAAGTAACACATAGTATAAAGTATGTTTTATCTACATAAATATGTTCAATAATTATTTTTGCAATGGCTATATTCTCTATTTTAGTAAATTTAAAGTTTCACTTAATGACTATATTTACATGATAAATACAGTGGAGACCCAAAATAATCACTCAGATAATTTAGGTTCCCAAACAACTTCTGGATTAAATATCTGAATGATAATAAGGTAGAAACAGGACACAAATTACTAAATTAAGTGGTGGTGTTACAGAACAGGGCCAATAGTAATATACTATTACTGAAAGTACCCCCCACTAGGCTTGCATTGTCTGCTGCAGAGGAAAAACATCTCTCAAAACCAGAGATTTGTGAAAAGGAAAGGAAATGTTTATTTAAGGCTATACAGACTTAAAGTAGTGACCTAATGTCTTCATTAAAATATCAAAGTCTTTTAGGATACCCACAGACGGACACAGTCCTTTCTTCTCCCTCAGCCCTAATCTGGGGTACCATATCTCAGGAAAAGAAGTAGAGATCCGTGATTCGGGCTCCCAGCGCCATCAGCTGTGTGGTTGTCAGGATCTTCAATTATCCAAAGTCATGTGGCACCTTCTCATGGCCTGCCAGTAAAAGTCCTTTCACCCTTTTTTTTCCAGGCAAAGTCTCTCCTGCTTCCTAAGCCATGAGGCCAAAGGGAGCACCCCAAAGACATGTGATCCTTACTCTTGCCAACACTGCAGGGGTCCCCACTCTGCCAAAGCTGTGTGGTTCTCTCTTCACATGGCTGCTGAGTCTGGGTTTAAGTCCCTGTGCCAACCTTCCTCTGCACCCCCATGTCTGACTCCTCCTACAGTCAGTTACACCTGCCAGCATTCCTGTATTATTCCAAGATTATTGGGCTGCCATCGTGAGTCTGGGCAGGTGTGGCCCCATGTCATGGAGCCAATCTTCTCCAAGCTCTCACACAGGCACTGTAACCAGGGGGAGCTGCCCCACCAGTTACATCTTGGGTGGAAGTCACTTCCATCCTCCTGGCTCAAAGCATGGCCACAGCTATTTAACATATCTATGCAACCAGTTAAAGGTTATAGTTATGTTAAATGACCATGCCAGAGGTTAGCTGCAAAGCTGTTGCTGTATGAAACAGTTCTGCATGTTCCTGCTCCATGTGTCCCTTCCCCCAACTCACACCTGTGTCGGGGGAAGGGGTGAGGACATCCTGTATATCTTTCCAATATTTCCTGGACACCTTGAGTTCTGGACTCCATTCCAAATCCCTATTTGGGGCGTCCCTCTTGGCTGTACCCTGTTACAGTCGTATGTTTTATCTTTCCTATCTTCACACTGTCATTAATTTAATCCTATCTTTAGACAACAAGTTTTGCCCACCTCCATAATGCCCTCAATGGTAAAATTTTGCAAAGAAAAAAAGAGGCGAAAAGAAGGAAGAGAAAGGATGGAAAAGAAGGAGAGAGAGAGAAAGAGAGGGAAGGAGGAAAGAAGGAAGGGGAAATTAGAATAAAATAAAATTAGTGGAATAAATTTTCTGTAACTAAATCAAAATCTTGTCAGAATAATCATATTTGAGTAAAAAAATGCCATCAACCATGACTTTAGATCCTAAAGAAACTATGCCCTTCATCAAGGACACTCCATTCAAGGTGTCTACATGAAGCACATGCGCATATACATGCTCACAGGCAAGTACTTTATACACACAGTGGGTTTAGTTGTAAATTTGAAGCTGCTTGGGAGGTAGGGAATTTGTGCATTCACATGTCCATAAAACTGTAAGATATCCTCTCACCATCCCCCATTTATACACACAAATATCTTTCTGATATTTCTGACACGCTCAATACATGTACTCGCCCCCAAAATACTCACTTTCAAGTCCAACAAAGTGGACTGAATAGTCATCAAAATTATACCCCGTTTCTTCTAAAATCCAAGTTTGATTAGAAATGGTAGGAGCATTTGACCTTAGCTACAATGACATATGCAAAGGCAAAGAAAGGGAGAGATCATTGGGAACTAGTAACTTTCTTGGACATTGACCTTGCTAATTTCTTTACATATTCTCTTACTATATTTTCAGATATTGTCCTTACACTTAAACGTGTACCAACAGTGCAAATGTATCTGAAATCTTCAGGTCACTTTGGTCTCTCCTGGTGAAAGAATTGAGGGACTTCCATAATTTCACAGGAGCTTATGTAAACAGTCCCTAAGCCCCCAACCATGAATATTTAGAGCAGAGGGATGTTATCCCAATTAACATTCTACCCAGACATATCTTTTTAAATTTTCCACTTTTTACCTTACATCAGAGTTATTTAGGCTTTCAATTAACATTCCCTGGGTAAATACCTGAATAAACATAAATAAACTTTCAATAGAACAATATCCTTACATTTAAGAACAGATTAGAACCATGTGTCAAATAAATCAAATTTTATAAGTTTAAATGCTATACAAGAGGTTTTACAACATTGTAGGAACTCTGGAATACTTTTCTGAACTAACTTTTTCTGAAAGTTAAATTGCAACTAATCTTTTTTTTTTTTATGTTGCTCTCCATTGGTGGCCTTTGGCCATTGGAAATTATCACATATTTCAAAATAAATTAAATAATGGATACTAGTTACTAGTATCCATTACTAAAAAAAGTTACTAGTAGTTAGGAAATTTCTTTAATAAATGGGCTGGTGTTTCAGATTTTATAACTATGCTCTCTTCTTGCTCACCTTGGACTAGATGAAAACTATTACTATCCATATTTCATGGCAGCTTAGGAACAACTGTCTTTTAATTTGATTTTTCAGTTCCTACCCAAGTGCAAATAAACATTAAAAGTCACTCAAAACCAACAGAAATGTCAGTAACCTTGAAAACATGTTGAATCTATTAAACAATGTGGATGTCTTAGTGATAAATTCAGGAACAAAATAATTTTTCAATGAATTATAAGACATCATTTTCATGTTTACTCCTACCATTTAACATATTGAAAATAACACAGGACAAGTTGTCAAATAATGCAATATAGCAAGGAATTATTTATTAGCATACTGTTTTCTGTAAATGTAAAAGGATGCTTTAATATTAAAGACAACTAGACTATTGGATGGCAAAGTCTTGAGTTTTTAAATCAATTTCATTAAAATTATGCCTTTAATGTGTTTCTAGCCCAAAAACATACGTTGATATCTGATAGTATTGCCCTTAACTCTGTCTTTTAAATTTATTTTAAGGTTAGCAGAAAATTTTTAATTATAAATTTGTGATCTGAAAATAAAATAAAATAAAAATTTCAAGACAAAAAAACTTTACACCATGTTCATAGGCAATTCTCTCTATCTATTTGAGTTCCAGTTTTCTCTTCTACCTGAATGACACCTAGCTGTTTAAGGAAGTCACTTCCAATGCTAAGGCTTTTTAATCTGTATTTTCTAATGATTCCTTACTGAATACCCAGCCTCCAATCTCTCCTCAGTCCAAACTAGGCTTCTTATAATATCACTATCAAACTCAAAATTCTTTACTGGTTTCCCAGTGCCTAAGAATTTGATATTTATAGTTATCTACAACCCAACCTATATGACCAACCTTATAACTTATATCTTTCATTATGGAACTGTTCAGTATATTTTCTTCTAAGTATGGGACAAACATATTTTCTTTTGCTCATTGTTACTATGCCTGCCTAAAATGTCCTTTCTCTCCTATCTGTTTTTATTTTCAAAAATGCTGCTCAACCTTTTAGACTCAACTCAATTTCCACCTCCATAGACAAAGCATCCAAGTTCAAAGTGCTGTCTCTCCCAACTTCCTCCTTTAAACTCTCACATGGTCAGGACTGTTTTAGTATTTATCACACAATTCCTAAGGTTGCTAGTTAAATGTTACAGAGATGTAAAATCCAGAAACCCAACAAGATTTTGTTTTCCCTACAATCCAGGACCATGAATTACACATACCTACATAAAACCACGATGCCAAGCCTGTTTCATGTAGAGTAGACATTGAGCAGTATTTCTTGATGAATATATTTTTGATGAGTTAAAAAAAAAGACAGAGAATAACACTGGAACAATTCCTAAGTGAGCTGATTATTCTATTTATCTAAAACCAAAGCAAATCATCTTAATAGTATTTTTAATGACCTTCATCATTTCTTCTCAGTCTGGGAAATATCCATATTTATTTCCAGATGGATCATGACTATAACATATACATACAAACTAAATTAAACATCTTATTTTAGGCTTAAAACTAGGTCTTTGCCCTCACCAAGTTTAGAGTTCTGTTGAAGAGTTAAAAAGAAACAAACATGTGAGAAGTTGACCAAAGATTCTAACAACAGTTCAAATTACAGTAGAGGAGATGCCATAATTTCTAATATACAGACCTTGGCAAATGCACCACCATTAATAGCTACAGAAATTTAAAGAACGAAAGGTGATGTCAGGCTAAAGGGAATAGGTGGAAGGAGGATAATTTCTTTAAAAGATTTTATTTATTTGTTTATTTTTAGAAAGGGGGAAGGGAGGGAGAAAGAGAGGGAGAAAAATATTGATCTGTGAGAGATACATTGATGGGTTGCCTTTTGCACACCCCCAGCTAAGGACCTGGTCTGTAACCCAGGCATGTGTCCTGACTGGGAATAGAACTGGCAACCTTTCGGTTCACAGGCCAGCACTCAACCCACTGAGCCACATCAGCCAGGGCAAGAGGACAATTTATGTGAGGAAAAGGGGAAGATGATGAAGAAAGTATCTGGGGAGAGG